AGCATCTGAGCTCCTAACACCCCAATTCAAAGCCATTAACACAGGCTGTTTGCAGTGAGCGCTGGTGCTTTTGCCTGGTTTCCAGCCCTGCAGCCTCACCCAGTGGGGAAGTGTGGCAGGGGGCCATTCCCGGCCCACAGGGAAGGCTAGGGAGGACACTGACTGAACTGAATGGACAGCTGAACAAATGCTGGCTGGGGCATGGCCAGAAAAACAAAGGTCTGCCCAGCACTCAGGGAGCTCTTGGTCTCAAGCTGCCGTGTGAGACACTGCCAGGGACAAGGCCTCTGCACGGGCACTTCAGTCCCTTGTTACCAGACAAACCCAGTGTTCAGAGTGGAAGCTAGAGAGAGAGAAATCAGCCAAAGCCTCAGGACCTGGGTGTCTGGGTGTCTTAACTCTGTGCCTGCAGGATTTACTCAGGGGCGGCCCTTGTTCATGATAACCTGCTTACCACTGGCACAGCACTTTCCATGTTCTCTGCCCAACTTCCCATCCCCACCGTCAGCTGGCTCCACCGCCGCCCCCACTCCACTCGCCAGCCATGCATCCGGCCGCTCCGCTGCCCTGTACCGACAAGCTCCGCCACATTCCACTCTCTGAATTTCCAGCGCAAACTTAGCCTGGCGAGAGCAGCACCCCCATCTTCCTCCAGAGCCCCACCATCTGCCCCCAACTCCCCAGATTAGGCCAGGAGAGCGGGAGGGGGGGACTGAGGTGGATTGTTTAGGGTGGGGATTGGGGAGAGAGGCGTGTTGGGGTGGCAATTTAGACTAAGGGGGTTCTGGGCTCACCACATGAGGGTAATGTTCTCTTTTGACAGACGTTCAGAGGGTCTGAATACGATCACTTTAATCTGATGGGTTCTTTTAATGCAGGGTTCTTGCACTGGTGATGGGGTGTGAGGGCTCCCTCACTGAGGGAGCACTGAGCTCTTGTGCACACAGCTATGTGCTAGGGCAGCAGATAGAATGGTGGTGTCTGCTCTCCCGATCTGCCTGGACAGGCAGCAGCCAGTCCTCCTGTCAGTGTCGGCTGACCGTGTGAGCACTGCTCTAGGTGAACAGTCAGAGGCTGTTGGTACAGCAGATGGTTGACATGAAACATGTGTTTTTGCCTGTATCAGTGAGCAGTGTACTGGCCCTTTGCACTCTGGTACTGCATGCTGATTTGGCCCCAACTGCATAGGGTTTGATTGGCATTTTGATGCCATTGCACGTCTGTATTCTAGGGGAAGGTGCTACTGAGGGGCCTAGTGTCAGTGCTGGTGGGAGAGGTTAACACGGGCCAGGATCTGTTATTGGACAATATTCCAAGTATACAAAGTAAACTTGCCAGCTTAGCCTTTGTTCCGTACCTTGGCTTGGATGATACTGGCTTTGCCTGCGAGGGCAAGAATGGGTTAAGTCCGTAAGGTCTAAGCAGAGTGAAGTAAGTGCTGAAGTCTGTGTCCTCTCAATAGCTGAGTGCGGGTGAAGAAGACGCGTGTCCTGCAGCAGCCCCAGGAGAGAGAAGGCAGAGATAAACAGAGCAGGGGGTTGAGAGCTGAGAGCATTCAGAACATTCCTGTTCCTCGCATGCTCAGTTGGGGAGCAAGAACCAGGCAGGGAAACCACAGGCAGAGCGCGCAGCACACCAATGTTCACTGTTAACGTCTCGTCATCCATGTCCTATGGGGGACCCCCATCTCTCTCTCCCTCCCGGCAGCAGCCAGGCCACAGGAAGAAATGGGACCAAAGGTACTGTTCTGTAATACCACTTAGTCTGAGCTGATGCAGGGAAGGGGAGTGGGACCATTGTCCAGGCAGCGAGGAGCGTCTGGGAGAGGTTTCCGGGCACAGGGTGCGGTGCCTGGCTGGGGTGATACCGGAACTGACCGAAAAGTCCTAGCTGTTCTATACCTGGCATTTCTGCTTGTGCCAAGCCTTGGTATAACCTAGGAGTTAACTATGCTTGTCCTGGAAGGCAGACAGGAGTGTGTGCAGCCCCGGTTAACATCAGCTGGATGTAACGCAGACACAGAACTGAAGTTAGGGGGTTGTGTTGGGGGAACGCTAGCCCTCAGTGTCTGTGGTTTTGAGCAGTGGTGGGCGGAGGTTTGTACTGAAGTTTACTCCACTGAAACAACGCCTCCCTGCAGTGGGACAGGGGGTCTGTCTGTCAGCAAGACTGCAGGGCACTGGGACTTACAGACTCCAGCTTCTGTAAGCAGAAGACTAAACACTCCAGGTTGGACACAGTGGTTTAGATGCCGCAGCCAAACAAACTGCTCTCCCCGCTGTCTGAGAATTCCCAGGGTCACAGAGAACCAGGCCAGCTGCGAGCCCCTGGGCGCCAGCCTGGGCCCCTTCCCTGCAGCATCCTCTCTCTGCAGAAATGCCACAGTGCTTTAAGGGCTGCTGCCCTTGAGCCACAGAGATGGCAGTTTTCGGGGCAGAAGGGGGCAGCCTATGAAGTGAGGTCCAGAGGTCCCATCCAGTCCATCTCCTAGGGGCCAGGGCAGGGTTGTTCTCTATTGAAGATTTACTAGCATAGTGTCATGAGCGGTGGGACCCCCACCCCTTCCCCTGGAGACAGTTCCATAGCTGGCTCTTGTTCCCCGTCAGGGCTTGGCTTGAGACTCTGCCTTCCTTTTTGCTTAATTCCATCACATTCCTCCTAGTGCCAGCCCCCCCACCCCAGTCCCTGTCCCGCCCGCACCATGGGGCCTATGCGGGCCTGGGGCGAGAGGCTCCAGCCCAGGCCTAAGCCCTCCTTAGACATCCTACTCTTCCTTCTTTCTTTCCTTCTCTTGCTCTCCCTCTCGTCTTACCAGCTACTTCCCGTAACTGTCTCCAAGTGACATTCACCCCAGTATGGGGAGGCGGTGGATGAGGGACCCTGGCTCTGGGCTCCCTCCCGGTGTCCCTCGCTGTAAATCCTGCTGCCAGGATGTGTGTGTCAGTGAAGGGGGAGAAATCTCCCTCACACCTCATGATAGTGGAGCCTGTGTCTGTCCCGTGGGGCTCATGGAAAAGGCTCCCCTGCAGCCTGGCAGCATATTGCCCAGGCTGTAGCTTTTCTGGAGCTCCATTGTTGTGCCCAGAGTCGAAGTCCTTCCCTGTCCCAGCTCTTTTCCTCTGTGCGCAGAGGGGCCTGTTCAGTCCCCTGAATCAGAATCTGAACCCTTCCTGCACAACCAAACTTGACTTAGGGCATGAACAGGGTTCCCCTCTCCCTGTCTGGCCTGGGCTGCTCTTTGCATGGCCTCAGGGTGGTTAAATCCCTGTTTTACTTCTCTGAGTAGTGTCCTGCACAGGGATTACTGCCACTTTAACCTGTTCCTCCACAGCAGATGCTCTGGCTTCATTCTTAGCACATGTCCTGGACTGGGTATTTCCATCATCTTCCTGGGTAACTTTAGAGATAAAGTGTTGTTAAACTCTCTGATGGATCTCAGCGTTTTGATATAAATTTGTTCCACTTAATGCTTAGTATTTTCCTGAGGCATTTGCTTCTAAGGCACTTAAATGTCTGTCTCCCTGTACCTTTGGTGAATTTCCAGCTATCACATCCGTATGTTAAGACAGAAATAACATTTGGGCTCAAGATTTGTAATTTGTATAGATTAGATTTTCAATGACCAAATCTTGTTTAAGCTAGTAAATCAGCATTTCTCAAACTGGGGGTCTTGACCCAAAAGGGGGTCACAAGCCTTTTGTAGGGGGGTCACGGTATTGCCACCCTTACTTCTGTGCTGCCTTCAGAGCTGGGCGGCCAGAGAGTGGCGGCTGTTGGCCGGGCGACCAGCTTTGAAGGCAGCACTGTCGCCAGCAGCAGCGCAGAAGTAATGGTGGCATGGTATGGAGGGAGGGGGTCATCAGAGCCGGAAATATTTTCAAAGGGGGTCCCAGCAGAAAGAGTTTGAGAATCCTTGTGGTAAATGCAGCTGCTGCCTTGCCAATTTGTGACATTATTGCTTTCTGGACATTCCCATTAGCTTGCATGTTAATGCCAAGGTACATGAATTGACTCACTTCTTTCTTCCTTTGCCTTCCAAAGAAATGCTTGAGTTGGTAATTGCTGGGGTTCTTGTTCGATTTGTTTTTTTCATAATTAACTATTAATCCCGTCTGTTTTGTGATGCTGGACAGTCTAGTTAAACTATCCCTTAGAAGGACTATGTCATCAACAAAACCTAGATCTTCTAGTGTATTGCTGCTGAGCCATGCATTACCTGTGTTGGATTTGTCCTTAAGGAAGTCAATGGCCAAGCCAAACAGGAGAGATGACAGAACACATCCATGCTTGACACCAGTGTCTGTGTTAAACCATTGACGCACATCTGCATTTATTTCACCTGGGCGACCTGCACCTTGATATAAAGCCTTGAGAAAGTTAATGATTTGTGTTAGCATTCAGTAGCACTTCAGGATGTTCCAGAGGGACTCGCGATGGAAAGGATTTTGTAAAGCCCATTCTGTTGACGAGGAGTGGGTTTTGCCAGTCAGTGCCCTTTGGTTATTCTCAGGGTGAAAGTCTGGCTGGCATAAAACTGCCGCCCAGCTCACTGCGTGTTGCCCAGGCTGCAGCTTTTCTGGAGCCCCATTGTAGTCCCAAGAGTCAGTTCTTCCCTTCCCTTCCCCAGCTCCTTTCCTCTGTGTACAGAGGCCTGTTCAGCCGGCTGCTGAGCTCCAAACGCCTCCAGCCCTTGGCCCAGATCCTGTGACTGACGGGAGCCCTAGGCTCCAGCCTGTTGGATGGTGCAACTCCCAGCACCTGCTCTGTGATTTGCCAGTCTCCTCATTGCTGGCTGATGAGTCGCAAGAGGCTGAGCTTGGGTGTAGGGGAGACTTCAGCCCTGCCGGATTCCAGGTGCATCAGGAAGCTCTCGCCCTGCTGTGCTCAGTGGCTTTCCTTCTTTCTGCACAGCTGGAAGCACCAGATCCCAGGGCACTGCAGTTGACATTGTTGGCAGTTGTGCCCTCCTTTCTCTAAATGTCTGATGTCTGTTCACATAGAGAGCCCCGGAAAATCATCCTGCACAAAGGCTCCACTGGACTGGGCTTCAACATCGTCGGGGGAGAGGATGGAGAGGGGATCTTCGTCTCCTTCATCTTGGCTGGCGGCCCTGCCGACCTCAGTGGGGAGCTGCGGAGAGGAGACCGCATCTTGTCGGTGAGTCCTGTCACTGCTGCCGAGAGAGGCCTTGACCAGCTGCAGGGCTCGTGTGCCGGGAGCTGCTCTCGCTGTTATAGCTGCGTTATGTCTAGCAGTCTGCCTCTTCGACCTGCCTGTCTCCCCTACCTCGGGCATTTACAGAGCGCCTGTCCCTGGCCTCTAGTAGTTCATTTGATCTCCTTGTGTTTTGCATCCCTAGTTATAATTCTCAGCAGTGCAGACACAAATCTATCTGATTCTGACCCCTTCCACAGCAAAATGAGGCTGCCCAGGCAAAGCTGGGAGAGCGAGGCCTGGATACCAGGCCCCATGATTGAGCCCCAGCGGCTGAGTCTGGACAGCAATGTATGCAGTCCTGCTGGAGTTCTCAGTCACAGACACGTGTGTTTTCATTCCTCAGCTCTCAGTGTGCATGGGGAACTTTGCAGTATGAAAACTGGGCAGTTTGGCCAACAAAACCCAGATTCCCTCCCTCAAAGAGTGAGGAGCCCCAAGGTGCAGATGGGGGCAGTAGCACTGTGTGCTCAGGGTAGCTGTGTGGATGCTGCCTAGAAACCATCCTTTCAGCCACACACCAGAGAGATTCTTTAGGGGGGTTCTGAGCTTGGCCTGGCCTGGCAGGTACATTCCATCTCTCAGTTTGGCCCCTGCCACTGGGATGAGTGTATTGAGTGTATTGATTCCATGCAGATGAGGCCAAAGCAGATCTGGAGGGCTGGATTTTCCTCCTTTCCCTGGGGTTTTGAAGATCCCCACCAATTTATGCCCTTACCTCACAGGGACCGACCCACAGATGTGACTCCCCAAACTGAGCAGCAGCGAACGCTGTAGAGCAAGGTTCAAATTCCCCATCCTCAGCCTGACCCTGCTGTTCCTAGCACCACTGTCCAAGCTTTTGCCAGCCCAGGGAGGGAGAGGCTGAGGCTAGGAATTACAGCTGAGCCCTGGGGCAGAAACGCAGATTGCCACAATGCTTGGGAGGGGAATGATTCTCTCCGGGTGTGTCTCCACAGCAAGCGAAGATGTGATTGTAGAGCAGGGAGGCATACCCACGCGCGCTTCCATCTAGCTAGTGCAGGTGCGGTGACATGGGCCAGCAACCGGAGTCTAAGCCCCTGGGAACCTAGGTGTGTATTCAGCTCACCCATGGGACCATGTCTACGCTTCTAGAGACCTCGGTTCGAACACAGAGCGGGTCTCAAGGGAGTTTGGAATGAAATCTCCAAGATGCCTTTGTTCCCATCATAAAACAACAGTACTTGGCATAACTGGCCTGGGCTGAAATCGCAGGTCGGGACTGTGGAGGCGTGGCTAGAAGTCCAGGATGGGACTAGCTGGAGGTGCCTTGGCGAACCAGTGAGTAGGAAGCTTGCACAGCCCTTGCCTCCACTAGCCCTAGCTGCTGGAGTTCTGCGTTGCTAGGGAAGACATCAGTCCCCTGAAACCCAGGCATGCCAGATTCCGAGGCATTTACTCTGATGGGGTTCAGCTGGGAGCTGGACTTTGAGCTGAAAAGATTCCCATTTGCAGCTGAGAGTTTGGCCCTGAGCGAGCTAGTGGGAGGGCACTGTCTGGAGAGGAATGCCCTGATGTCTCCTCCTGGACAGCGAATGGGATGGGGCGGGGGCTCTCAATCATCTGGGTGAAGAAGGACACTAGTGTGATCCGAGAGACTCTGTGATTGTATCTAGAGCCGTTTTGGAGAGGGGTCAGTGTGTGTGTGTGTGTTATTTGTAATGGTTTCCTGTTTGGCTGCTGAAATGGGTGTGTATCGTTCCTATCGGCTGTTGCTCTTACTCAGCCTGTAGTTTGGAGTGCTAGTCCTTGTCTACACAGGACAGTGTTTCCGGTATGTGCTAAGGTGTGAATTCAAACTGGTCTAGTTATACTGGTATACTCCACCCTCCCCATGTGGACACACTATACAGGTATAAGAGTAACTTTTTACATATAGCTTATGATGCTTGGGAAGGGGTTTAAGAAAGCCACTCTTATACTGGAGTACGTGCCCACACAGGAGGACTGTATAACTAGATCAATATAACCAGTAAATCTTTTCCCTGTAGATAAGGCCTTAGTGATGGGAAAACCCCTTTCTCTCTAATGCATGTGAATTTGTTACTGGTAGGTTGTAGATATTGGCCTGACCTCCATGGGAGAAACTGTCCCTCCCCCTCAGTCAACTGAAATGCATTTTGCATCCACACACAAAAATATTTCAGTCCGTTGCTGGGGGTGTAGCAGTCACTGCAAGTTAACCCAGAATTTGTAGAGGTGACCACCAACTGAGTTTCAATCACTGCAGTTTCAATCAATCCAGAACATCTCGCTGGCACAGACAGAGGAATGTCAACGCTGACAACTGTCACCTTTACCTTCCGAGCTGTCAGCTCCCTCACAGGTTTCTTTCAGTTCCCCAGCAGGCAGTCCAGGGGAAAATGGGTGCATTCGCAGGACGACTCCTTCCCTCAAAGAGTGAGAAGTCCTAAGGTGCAAACAGGGGCAGTAGCACTGTGTGCTCAGCACTGTGTGGATATAGAACCCCGAATGGGGGAAGTGAGCACCTTCCCCGGGCTGTATAGGGGGTGAGTGAAGCCATCTTCCCTCTGCACTATTCTCAACCAGCAAGCTACTTGTGGTAGCCAAACTGCAACTTGCAGAGAAAGAGAGAGCAGTTCAGGTGTATCGCTGGCTAGGACTGGAGTCTGGGGTCAAGATATAAATGGGGGGTTTCTAGTGGTGTTGCAGAGGGGTCAGAGAAGGAACTTGGTCACTGATCAACAGTTGGATTGCTTGCTTAGTATCTCAGGGGGACATTAGCTAAGGGGATTATTTCTGGAAAGGGGCTTCTGAGCAGAGTGTATGGAGCAGACTTGAGAGGGAGAGAAGCAGGTCTCAGCTGGTGAGCTGAGGACAGTTCAAGGCATTGTGGCTCTCAGCTGCCCTGTCAATAACTAATCGGATTCCCTCATTTGTGTTTGGTCAGGTAAATGGTGCAAATCTACGGAACGCAACTCACGAACAGGCGGCAGCAGCTCTGAAACGGGCAGGGCAGACAGTGACCATCATCGCTCAGTACAGACCTGAAGGTAGGAAATTGCTGAGAGTGCTGACGCCCGCTTTAAGGCCTGGCTGTGGGGCCCCCTCCCTTATACACTAGCCCCAGCCAATCAAATCAGGGGCCCCAGCTCCAAGGTGATCCTTAGTCTTTGGCTTTTCAATGTGGCTATGTTGCCCTGGCTAAGTCTAAAGGCTCTTCAGCTGAAATTGCTCCCCACTCGATGGATTCTGCCCAGTGTTGTGTCATTGGCCCACCTCTAGCAGGAAACATGTTCCTCCTTGCAAAGATATTCCAGCAGCCCCTCTTTTTTTGTCCACATATGGAATTGGAAGCGCTGGCAGCTACGCCTAGTGGTGACTTCTGCAGACGTTCCTGGCTCTCAAGTAGTCTGTGAAGTTTATGTTTCTCCATGTTCTAGAGGTCAGGCCTAGCCTGTGTATAGAGACCAGGACACACCGTGTCCCTGACATGCTGGTTTTCTTGCCATCACATCTGGCTGATGATATGGTTCAGCTGAGGTCACAAGGTCGTTTGGGTTTGCAGTCCCCTATCATCCTCTAGTCAGAGGTGGAGAACCAGTCTCCATCCTGAGTGCAACTGGAGAATGTCCACCACTGATGGATGAGAGTGGTGCTTTTATTGCTCCTGCCCCCCTCGGCGCCTCCACTCCTCTCGGTGCACTCCCCACTCCTGGCCCCTTTTGGCATGCCCACCGCCCCCGCCCACCTGTCCCCCACCCCTCTCAGCGCACCTACCGCCCCTGCCCCTCTTGGTGTGCCATCCACTCCCAAGTTGTCACTTTGAGGTGTCAGATCCTGGTGCAAATCCCTCACATCAAGAGCGGCCACTCCTCCAAAACTGCCTGTAAGCCCAACTCCGAATCAGGGTGGATGGCCTAGAACGATGAGCCCTCCTACCTATACTGCCCACGGGGATTCAGCAGTCATCGGGTGCCAGCTTAGATTATACTGCAGATGTTGGGCTAGCCTCTACTGAAGGTAGCCTCAGAGGACAAGGACATGCCAGTGGTCCTAGGCCAGACAAGGACACTCGCTTCATGTATCGTTCCTGATTCCCTCAGCCTTAAGATTGGTAGCAGGTTCACAGACTATTTACAGTGTGCAGGGAACTTCCAAATTTGTGGAAACGTGGGAAAGAGACTCAACTGCTTTACTATCCCTTGTTGTATCTGGCACAGTGGAGTCCTGGGGAAGTAGTCAGGTGTTTGAGTGAGATTCAGGTGTTTAATAGAGCAAGTAGATTAGCCCTTGGCAGTGTCTTCTCTCCAGGTCAACATGGCTCACTGGCCTGAAATACTGGTGTTTAATAACTTGTTACATCTGGGAGCCCTCATCCTGCCCAGGGTAATCCAGAGTCCCTGCAAATTAGCAGGACTTCATGTGTTCAGAAAATCTATTGGAGCAGCCCCCGCCAGGTGAAGCAAGGGGCCATGGAGTAGACTAGGGCTGAAATTGGAGCCAGAGGAGAAATTCTGAATCACTCTCATAGAGTCCCAGCAGGCCAGGCTGAGTATGTCTACATTGCAGCTGGGAGCGACCCATCCACCCTAGTGAGACAGACTCAGGGTATTGGGGCTGAAGCTAGTGTGCTAAAAATAGCAGCATGGACGTTGCAGTTTGGGCTCCCAATCTCATCCGACGGCTTAGGCTTGAGAGCCAAGCTGCAGGCCAAGCAGCAGCGTCCACACTGCCCTTTTTAGCACGCTGTCTAGCTAAAGCTTCACTAGTCGGAGTTTGTCTCATTCCCACCTGTAAACTCTTCTTCCAGGGGCAGCAGCCTGTTCAGTGTGGAGGGGAAGGTCCTACGCAAAACAGACATTCCTGTGTCATTTCTCATTTAATAACTTAGTTTTGCTCCAAGTCACTAGACAACTCTATATTTAACTAACACCTAAAGTGACTTTCACTAACTGTACCCACTCACCGTGGGGTTTCTTATCACCTCCCTGCAGACTGGTCATCGCCGCAGCTCCACTGTCAAGGCTGCTCACCCTGGCTTTGTAGTTTTATTCCCAAGATGGCCCTGTTCCCCAATCAGCAACAACACAGCTTTGAGTAGTTCATCCTTTGTGTAACTTTGCTGAAGTTGAATTACACTCAGGATGAATTTGGCCCAGAGACAAGGCAGCTCCTTAAAAGGAAATGGTGCATCTTGCACAGGGCCCAGGACTGCGTCTGTAATCAGCGGAAAGTCCCTTTCCTCCAGTGGAAAGATTAGCAAGTCCCCATCATGCTGGAACCAAACTTTCCTGCTTCTTCCGCCGGTTGTGTTACTGGACTCGCCGCACCCTTGCCCGCGACAAGCTTCCACTGCCGCTCCGAGGGGGAGTTTATACGTCTGAGTCACTCGCATCCCCCCTCACGTGACCACTCCCAGGCAGGGCCAGCCTGGGGGGCTGCTGCTTGCCCCCCGAAAGCCCTGCGTGGGAAAATAGCCCCGTCGCTGGGTCTGGTCCTTAGCCCCGGGGCATGAACGCCCGGCGGGCCCGGCCCCATCAGGTGTGGACAGCGCTGCCTCTTGCACCGATGTAGTGACTGCGGTGCCAGACCGGCTCCATAACCACCGTCCTCCTCCCGCCTGTGCACAGCGGCCGGGCGCTCGGTAACGCCCGCGGGCCGGCCTGTGGGGAGCCGCTCGGCGGGAGCTGGGCAGCCCCTGGGTCCCTGCGGGCTCCGGAGGGGGCCCGGCCTCGGCCCGAGGTCCCGGGGGGGCGGGGCCGGGCCTGCACGGTGGCGCTGGAACCGCCTCACCAACCGCCGCCGGCCCGGGGGGCGGGGTCGGCGCGTGGAGGATCCGCCCGGCGCGCTGCGGGGGGAGGGGAGCGACCAGGCCGGCGAGACGCCTCGCACCGCCCGCGGTATGGGCGGGGCGTCGTATGTAAAGGCCAATGTCGGTGATAGGCCGAGCGCGGGGGGCGGGGCTTGGGGGGCGGGGCGGAGGAAGTGAGCGGATGCTGATTGGAGCGAGGCTGGTCTGGGGGCGGAGCCGCCGCCGCAGCCTCCCGCCCGTGCGGCTTTGTGTGCGGGGCCGGGACTCGCGAGCCGGGCTGCTCCGGCGCGCGCTGCCATGGGGCGAGGGGCCGCCTGGGATCCGGTCTGCTAGGTGAGCTGGGGCCGGCCGGGCCCC